GAACTATTGTCACTATTGTCCAGTATGTACTGTATCCATGTGAGTCAAGTTGCTAGGTCCACACTGTAAAGGCCTTCAAACCCTCCTGCATCCCTCAGCACACAAGCACAGCCAGGTAGTTATAAAATCTTAATCAGGAAAACTCAGCAAGTTTCCTCTTTGAGAAGCTTTCAGAATGTCCTGTGGGAGTCACGGGGCTTGGGGCTCTGCAGGTTAGCTGCTCTGTTAGTGATATTAGGACCAATGCACGGAAGCAATATCTATGCTGCAGGTATCATTACAGTGCCTAGCTTTACGAAGACTTCACCACAACCTGTAGCTATCACAAGGTCTCATTGTTCAAATTTCTTGAATGGCAACAACCACCACGAGCCAGCAGGGTGCATTCGCAGCCCAGAAAGCCAACCATATCCTGGGCTGCATCCAAAGCAGAGTGGTCAGCAGGGAGGTGGTGATCCTGTCCCTCTGCTCTGTGCTGGTGAGACCTCACCTGGAGCACTGCCTCCAGATGTCTATCAATGGAGATATTCAAGGTCAACCTGACCTAGTCGTAACTGTTTCTCTTCACTGCAGGGGAGCCGGATCAGATGGCCTTTAAAGGTCCCCTGCAACTCAAACAATTCTATGATTCTATCATTCTACTTCCTCAATAGAAGTAAAGGAGGACGCTAAGCTCATCTATAGCACTGGAAACATGTATGTGCTTAAACTGCATCTTGTCCAAAACATTTGCAGACTTTTTAAGTTATTCCAAATCTCATGGTGCACACTCCATTTATAAAGATGTAGGAATAATAATCTTCTAGTGGCTTAGGCATAGAATATGATATGAGAAATAAAGAATGAAGTCTTTAAACACAATTATTTTGTTAACAAAATCATGGCCTACATTTTCTGTACTTAGAAACTAGAAATGTGGTCTTTATTCTACTTCATGTTGCACAGAACTAGTGCCCTACTGCCACACACACACAAAATATCAAATTTAATACATCCACGTACACAAATGTTAATACTGTGTTTTCAGAAAACTGCATCTCTCAGACATTTCTGAGGTTTAAGCACTACTGTGTCTCTAATGACACATCTATAGCCTGGGCTTTTTTTAAATGGAATTTGATTAATGCTGTGTCAGGAATGAGTGGGATAGGCAATACAGTTTTGCTCCATTTTCTTCAATATAAAACATCTTACTAATAGAAAATAATAAAATGTAAGAGCCATCACAGCTGAAGCTCTTAGGCCAAGTAATGGCCAGACTTGAGCATGTTTTCTATATCTGTACGTGATGTTTCGTGGACCTTCTTGTTATTTTTTCAGTACTCAACAAAACATTTTGTTTAATAATCCCAGAAATAAGGTATCATTCCACTAGGAATCACAGGAGGATCAGATATGTTTCATCTTCATCACAGAGATCTCACATAAATCATTTACTTCTCCCTGAGGAAGAACCATGAGCCAGTCTGAGATGCAAAGAGTATGAATTCCAAAATACACAATCTCTAGAAATTAATTTAATTGCTCAGTGATTTCCTTGCTGAGTAAGTTGCTTAGTGTGTAGTCACCTTAAAAGCAGGGTTTTGAGGAGGAGTGGGCCCAACATACTGCTCACATTGGTCATGAACCTTCGAGGTACCAAGAGCCCCTGATGTGGTCAATATATGGAAAGCTGTGGATACCCACACCTGGCTGAGCCTGGCCTTTGTGCTAACGAATGCCAAAATTACACGTGCTTAAATCTAACACAAAATAAGGATCAGACTCATTATTTTTGCTAAAGCAGACACGTTGTTCAATTCATATTTGTCCACAGAAGCTTAACACAGAGAGGACAGAAGTAATTTGTCACCAGGAAGAAAAAAAATAATAAAGTTTGCATAGGCACAAGAGAGATGTCTGCTTTGACATCAGTGTTCACTGAGTATAGTAAAATATGAACACTTCTGCAGTATAAAGTGCCTCGTAATTCCTAATAGATGAAGAGTCAACTTCAGGCAGGAGCACTGGGTTTTGCAGCAGTGTTCTGGGCTTTGCAGCAGGCATGGCAGAAGCGGGGCAGCTGCAGGGAACTCCTCTCACACAGGCTGGAGCTATTGGTGGTGCCCCAAACTACGAGCTAAGCTGGAGGAAAGTCTTAAGTTGTATTTGGGCAAAGGTAGTGTTCCTCAAGCAGGAAAGCCCAGAGCTGGCCTGGCTGCTCGACTCCACTGCACTGCAAGGGGACAATTTCCTCTCCAGCTGCTGGAAAATACCACTTCTACTGTTTGTGTCCTATTTGGTCTCTGAACCAAAGAAGGGGGGAATCTAATACCCCAGTGGGTCACAGAGTTCAGTGAAAATCCTACAAGCTTTTCCTGAACAAATAACAGTCAGTGACCCCTGGCCCCATCTTTGCATAAGAATTAACATCAGCGCTCAGGAGTCACTGCTGTGACTGGTGACTACGCAAACGCCAGATTCTTACTTAAAACTGATATTATTTTTTCTTATTATTTTTTAAAAATATATATATTTTTAAGAACCCGGTAGAAAAGGAGGGCCTTGCAGCTCATCTGCATTACAGATGAGGCCTCTTGGAGAAAATCAAGCATCCATAATTCATTACATGTTTCCTGCAGGGCCTGGAGACGGCCGAGGCCCTAGCAACAGAGTCATAGCAACAGCGGCCGGCCCCAGCCAATCAGCGGGCAGCTTTCTGATGCTGCTCAGCCAATCCGAGGGGGCGGCAGAGACGGAGACGCCGTCGCCCATCGGGCAGCGCCGCCCAGACGCGTGGCGGTGCGGTTAGTGGTTCGCCCAGCTGGGAGGGGTGGGCTGGTTTGTTGTGTGGAAGTGAGGTGCTTTTGGGAAGTCTGTCCGACCAATCCTTAACAGTACGGTGGGAATGAGTGTGAAGTAAAAGGTGGGGTGAGTTTTGATCCGTGGGAGGTGGAATAGTGATTTATTTATTTATTTTTTAATTGTAGGCAAGAATGCATATTCTGAAGCGTTCCTACCTTGAGGATGAGTTCTGTGAGGGAAAAGGCTGTGTGTGTGCCTAGCACAACACCTGTGCAAATCTCTTAATAAAGATTTCTAACTGCAGGTGCCTAACTCAAAAAAAAACAACGTTTTGTGTTCCACTGCTCTCTTCAAAGCAGAAATAACCTGCTCTAATTCGCGCTCCACCGCTGCAAGATCTGCTTCTGAAAGGATTGCCTTGAAAAACTGGTATTTGTTCCCTAAGCTGCACCTTACAGCAATAATCACCACTCAGCGGAGTTGCCCTTCCACGCTAATAGCTCGTCGTGCCTCCTGTGACACTGCCGTTGTTCTGCAGTGACACAGAACAAAGAGAAAATGAAGGAAGTGGGGACGAGGAGTTGGAGGAAACAGAAAGGCGGTGTGGTGTAAGTTGCAATGGAAGTGCAGAAAGCATCGAGCCTTCCCACACACGGCTCGTTTGTGGAGTTGTGTGAAGTGCTGGAAAGTCATAGTGCTGTTACCTGCACACAAATGTGTAATTTCCTTTAGTGAGGAGGAGGAAAGGTGCTGGGTTTTGTTTGGATTAAATAAGTGTACTGTAAATAGGAAAGCTGCTTGATCCCCGAAGGCAAGAATTGCAGCTTATTGCAGCCATCGTGTCTCTAAAATAATTTATTTTCTCTCTGAATGGCATAAGGAAATACTTCTCTTGAAATATTCTTATTTAACTGAAATTTTAAAATACTCTGTGTCCATTTATATGCAGCTACAGAGGTTTATAAATCCTGGTATAAAACTGTATCTGTTTTCGTTTATCTTTTGGGAAAATGAAAAGCAATCATTTATCCAAACCTGAACATTGCACTTGAAGCCACGATACTGCAGGTTATCTAAGCAAGCGTTTCACCCTCAACCTAAAAGCCAATCCCAAATTCCACTCTAATGCGTATGTTGCTCAGATAGTGAAAGCTGAGATTAGAAGATTTGCTATTGATGCTTCAAAGTACATTTTGGGACCGAGTGCCCCATATTGAACTTTAACAGATGATGCATAAATTGACTAAAGCCATGAAGGCTCCCAGAGGAAGATTGAAAAATACATTCCAATCTATCCTCGTATGTTTTATAAAATGTTGGAAACAACCTGCTTTGTCAAAGCCTGCTGAGATGCTACGGATGAAAAAATATCATATCCCCAACATTTTGCATCTGTCAGATGGCTGGAAAGACTTCTTTAGGATTCATTTCTTTCAGTGAATTAGTAGGACTAAGTACTATGTTTTCTGTTTAAAAGTGGCTGGTTTTCCCTTGTTTGAAGAGAAGCCACGTAAAATTTTTTGTAGCAGTATTTTGCAGCATTTAAACCTGAAATAAAAATGTTTGTTTTACCTTAAGGAAACAACAACAATTAGTCACAATGAGTCTGAAAACATAATTACTGGTTGTAAATTAAAATTCTTCTTTTTTCCCTTGGCGAGTAGGATCAATTTAGTGATTTCATATTTTACTTGCAATTAGACACAAATGGAAATTTGAACATCAGGCCTGTGACTGTTCATTAAAATCATTTAATGAACCCTGTGGTCTGCATAGTTAAAAATAAGAAATTGCCTTCCAGGATGGTTGAGTTGTCCCATACCTTTTTCCTTAACTTTGACAGATTCAGTGTAAGGCTGGAGGCTCACTCTGAAAGGCACAGTGTTCTCTAATGAGCTGTTACAATCACACAACTTAAGCTAATGAATTTCTTATCCTCTTATGTGGATAAAAGTTTCTGGTAGAAGTCAAAAGATCTCAGCTTTTTAAGTGGATTTGTGCTTTGCATTTGGGGAGGGAGGGAAGGAAAGGGTACTACAAAGACCGAAATTCATTGTGATTCTTAAGAAGCACCATGTGGCAATAACTTCCTCAATGAAACCATTACCATTAAAGAATCCTTGTGTGCTCAGTTTGAAGTGTGCAACACTACAAAGCAGAGCAGCGGATCCATGGGCACGCGTGGGAAAAGGAGTCGTAGTCAGATGAGTCCATCAGGGCTATTCAGGAGAGAGGATACCCTTCCCACTGACATCTGTGAATGACTCCATGTGTGGACAGGGAAGCTCACTGCTGTGCAGAGGACCCACACCCCACAACAAAGTAAGTAGAATAATATATCACTTCTACTTACAAAGGCAAAATCCTCATCTAATGCAGTGATGAATGGCGTCTCTCCTCAACTCCACAGTGCTGAGGTGCTGTAGAAATAATGCTGCACATTTTTCAGAGATTCCAAAGCATTTTGCAGCCATTCACCGACCAAGCTTCAGGTCGTCAGAGAGATACGTTTCACCTCAGGGATGAAAACTGTTTTGTTTCACACTTCAGTGCTACTGCTTCTGTGGAGATGATGCATTATCTCAGGGGCTGGATGGGAAAGCCCTGAATGATTTCAGTACACTGACTTGGGCAAAGTGTAATCACAGTAGCAGGGGTCAACAAGCCTTAAAAGAAGTCACTCTGACTCTGCAGAAATAGGAAGGAGGAGAAAAGAAGTCTTGACTACAATTTGTTCTCCTGTAAATGGTCTTGGACTTCATCAAGGGGAGCTTTGAGTCTTGCTAATTTTTTGCAAGGCTCTGGGTACAAATTAATTTACACTGACAAATTAGTTTCTCTCCTCAACCACTCTTGTGAGCACATAGAAAAGTCCATGCGTATTTTTGTGAGCAGCTTGCCATTCCTGTCAGTTAAAACAGTGAAGGCTGAATGCCTTTACAGTGTGAAAGTGAATTTTCTGCTGTGTTTTTAGGGCTAGACTCTTGTTCCAATGTAAGCAGAAATACATTGCTTATTTCCCATGGCTTTGCTTTAAAGGTGGCAAAGACAAGATTCTGGACTTCAGTGCAAACTGCAGGGCTGTTCTCTAAAGTAATTTGGCCCTAGGATGTGAAAGAATCAGATCATCTGTAAAAACAAATCTCTTGACAAGAGATCTCAATTCTGCATTAGCTTCTTAAAAACCTTCCCAGAGACTGATGTAAAGACGGAAGCCTGGCCATGGCAAGAGCCAAAGCACAAGAAATTCACTCCTGACACTTGCACTGATTTCAGGATATTTGGGTCAGACTATTGTTATGGGCTATCTTGCAGTAATTCAAACTGCAAACAACACAGAACTTGAATTTTCTGGTGTATTTCACTGTTCCTTGCTTTCTCACAGCAATTCACAGGAGTTGATCCCCAGACTTAGGGCTGCTGTGTACATGGAGGTCAGCAGGAATCTCGCTACGAATTTGCAACACTGCCACCACAGCCTCCAAGTGGTTCCAAACCTACACTGCAACATTTCCCTTTTATTTGGACTTTAAAGCTTTGCTTGACCAATGCCTCAGCAGCCTCCCTGAAAATTCTTCAGAAAAGAAAACTAGGAACGGCCCTTTTGTTATTGTCCTTTTCCAAAAGGGGCCAAGGTAGTGACTTGTGAGCTCCCTCATACAAAGAGAAGAGAGGGAAAAAAGAAATAATCTCCCTACCCCCCATGTGCCAGAGAAAGCAGGCGCGCCGGAGAGGCTGTGCATACGCTGCGAGAGCAAGGCTAGGGCAGGGGCTGACCTCCGGCTGCCTATCCACCACAAAAGAGACCGTGGCATTGACACAGCCTGACTGTTCTCCTTCGAAGGGGATGGATTGAGAGGAAGTGACCCTTACTGCCCCGCTTCTGCGGGGGACCTTGTGAATAACTGTTGCTGTTCTCTTCCTTCCTTCCTCAGGCAGGTCAGAGAAATTAACGCTGAGAACACTCTCTCTTAGTTGGTTGTTGGAGCAAGAAAAAAACACTTTTTCCTTGAAATGGATGAGCAAGGACTGTGGAGGTGCTAACTTTTTGCCATTTCTGTCTTGGGAAACACGGAATGATTCCCAGACTGATCCACAGTGTTCACAGATGACAGGTTAGCGGGCAGTGGCACAGGCTCTGAGTGTTTGTCTGGCTTTGTTTTCCAAGGAGACCCATAGAACAATCCATGCAGCTCAGTTCCTAAGAATAGGAGCAGGCTTTATCCATTGAGAGATTCAGAGCTCTCAGAGCTCACCATCTAATGGCATCTGAAAAGTTTCTACTGAAACCCAGGCCACAGAGGAGATTAAAGAGGATCCTGGGGGCTGAAGGATGGAGAAAGCCAATCTGGGAATTGAAAGGAAGCAGAAGCTGCTAGGCCCACTTCTCAGCAGTGCCATCCCTTCTGAAGTTCACGGGGTGCCAAACCTTGCATTCGAGGACAGCCCTAAATAGGTTGGCGCTTGCAGGTGCCCAAACTACTTCATATCTCTTTGCTGTTGAGGGGCCATAGGTAAAGCACATGGACTCAGTTGCTCCCCTTTCTCTTCAAAGGACTTTTAAATGTCTCTCAGCTGCACTTGGGGGTGAGTCAGGGAGGGAGGGAATGACCTTTGGATTCTCCCTCTAGAGGGAACCTGAGAAAATGACCTTTTGGCCCTTAGCTCCGCAGGGGCTCAGGAGAGGTCGGAGGGAATGACTCTTGGTCCAATCTCACTCTCCACAGGGGCTAAGGAAAAAAGAGAGAGAGTGGATGAACTCCAGGAATATGCGATCGCAGGAATTTTTGTCTTCTTCTGAAAAGGGGGCATGTTTATTTTGTAGCTCTGGTAAGAAAAATAACCTGCCACTGAGAAAAAAAGCACATCCATTTAAGGCAAGAATGAGCTTCAACTCGGTGACCTAGAAATCAAGGCAGAAAGTAAAAGCTAATAAATAAATAAATAAGTAAATAAAATAATCAGGGATGTTGCACAAAATCAAGGGGTGCCCTCTGAAGAGGTGTAATCAAGGCTCTGAGCCATCAGTTATAATGGTTTTGATTAAAGAAAGCTGTGCAGAAGTAATCTACTTTATTTTTAAATGGCCTGATTTTCCCTCACTACTCTCTTGGAGACGGAACCTAGAACAACTTGAAGGAGGACATAAAATGTTCATTGAAAATAGGCAGGTGATAAGGTATGCGTTTAATAAAAAAACTCACATCTTTTAAAGTTACTTTTGGGTTTCGATGGCATGCATTAAAATTGGCTGAAAAAAGCAATGCCTTAGTAAATAAAAACATGAAAGACTTCCAAATCCTGGCTGATCAAGCCACGCGGTTCCTTTCTGCAAACTTGATGCCCATTCACAATGTTGAGCTTCATCACTTATTTCCAATGTAGCGGAAATCCTAAAGTCTGAAATTCTTCGGTTCCTGTATAGGGTCAGACTTGTTGTCTTTGCTTGATAAATACTGACAAATAGTAGAAAAGAAGCTCAGAAGAATCACAGCTAGGGTGGGAGGGGAGGGAGGTTTACATTTTCTTCCTCAAGAAGGTCAGATGTTTATTCAAGCCTATCCAAGCCTTCTGAACAGATTTTTGTGCTGGAAATCTCATGAGAGCAGCATTTCCTGGAGAGTGGAAGGAATATCTGTCTTCGGAACAGCCATCTGCAAAGTGTCATGCTGGTTTTGAGTCTGACAGTGCAAAAGGCTTACTGAAATACCAGATGCAGAAATGTAGCCTATTTCTTAAAAGGTTGTTGGAGTAAAGTGAGCTGCCATTTTATTTACTGCCCATTATTGCTCTGCACAGCGCTGAATTCCTCCCACATGACTTACATGTTGGAAAAGGGATGTCCTTGTACCTTTATCTAGGTGATTTTTATACTCACAGTATTTTTTAGAAGAACTTCAAAACATTATTATCAGTGCTTGGCTCGTTCTCACTTTATTTTTCAAGTTAGTTAAAATAGCCTACGTAAAATAGTAGAGTATGGAAAAACATGGGGAGGCCAAAATGTCTATCAAGTGAGCAACTTTGATTCAGTAAGTTGCATGTTTCAGTGGATCCAATCACTACTCAAAACAGGTTGTCTGTCTTCACATGGGAAGGCCTCATGTTTAATCAGGGATGCTTGTGTGCCTTTGGTTTCATTTTGATGCCTCTTTGTGCTTCAGGCTTGTGGCCACATCGTTTCCACATTCCAAGCTTGGCATAAAGACTACTAGTCACAGAAAGAAGCGTGTTTTCATGAGAAACTCATTGTGTAATGTAGCCTTGTAAAAAGTGTCAATAGCACATTTACAGCGCAGCAGAGCCGCTTAAAGCTGAGTGTCTTAACACTCATTTATGGAAGATGGCTGTAAAGATGAGCACAGGCAAGATTTAGATGTCTTCTTTGCAAAGGTAAGCAATAGCACTAGGCAGTGTCTGCAGACACAGCTCCCTGTGCAAGGACTAAGAGCTGGAAATACTGCTCTCTCTATAAAATACAGGAATCCAGACAAACCTGCAAATTCAGAATTTTGTAGAGGCTTGGGAATTATCTTTGTCCACAACGAATGGGCAAAAGCTTACTGCATCCTCTAATCCCAACTTATAATTAGCATTTGATTTCCAAAAGCGTGGCAATCTTGTGTTCTTTTCAGTAACAGCATGTGTTCTATATTCATAGGAAATCAAAGTTGTACGCTGTTTACATTTCAGCAGCATGCTTCAGAAAAAGAATTTAGCCATTCAAGGCTGAGGTACTTTTAAATAATATCAATAAAATGAGAAAGTCGTGGGATGGAGGACCAAATGGAGATACATTGTCACCTTCTGTAATTACTTTCTTAATATGCCATCTGTTGCCTTAGGTTCTAGGGTCAGGAAGTGAAATAAGCAATGGTCTAAAATAATGCTGATTAAGCTGTTTGTGAGTAATAATATGATGGCACTCTTGGCCCTCGCCTGTATCTGCGTCATTCATTTCCCAAAGTGAGACTTGCTCTCCCCAACTACCTGAGAGCATCCTAGCCAGCAGCCCTGCAGGATTTTTCCTGCTGGGAGGAATAAGGGCAGGGTCAGTGGTTGTAAGTTCTGACAGCTCCATGCAGCCTTTCAGGCTGACACCAAGAACATTTTCCCCTTTAAATAATCAGCTGTTGGAGAATTATCATGGAATTGTTCTTTGTTTAATCCACCTTGGTGTTGGGTAGCTTGTGTGGCTCCATGCACCAAAGCAAATGACTGAAAAATCCAGAACAGGAAACTTTTGATATGTGAGCAGGAAACGCTTGTGTTCATGTAGGCCTTCCTTTGCTTGACCATGCATGTGTATTTTCTTAGGGGGAAAAGTACCCTACTTTCCCACTAAAGCCTGTTGTATATGAATGTATGCAAGTAAGAAGCAGAGCAGAGCAAAGTACATTTGAATCTAAAAATGTCTGTGAAAATACACATGCATGCATTGCATATCAAGACTATATCCCACTGGCTCCCTTTGGCATAAACAGTGTGTGCCTGAATTGTCCTTTAGAAGAAAAGCTACTCTTTTAACCATGTAGAGAATGCTAGACAAAATTGGATTTATGCAGAGGAAGGACAACTTCTTTGTCATTTCCAGATAGGAGTTGTTTACATAGCAGTTGCAAGATGTGCAAAGCAGAAAAAAAAGTCATCCCTGAAGATGCAGAGTCGCTTAAAGCAAACAAATTCCTCACATAAATTATGACACTGATGCAATATAAATGTACAGAACAAATGCTCACACTCATTTAAGATGGAGAGGGAGCCTGGTGTGTCACCTGCAGAGCTAGGAGTTGGGTTCAGTTTACAGTTCTCCTCTTGGGTGGTGAGCTAGCCTGGTCAGTTCGTGTGAACTCTTCACAAGCTGCATGGATTTCCCTGGATCTTGCAATACACATAGGTGAAATGCTGTGAATCCACTGAAGTTTTGTCACTGAGGAATAAAAAACACATTTAGTTTGTTATTTTAAGTGAAAGAAGGCAATATGTGACTGAAATCCGTGTCTTTGAAATCGGTGAACTTCTTTCTCTTAATTGTGGTGAGTCATGATTACAAGTGTATGTGCACGTGTATAAATGTTATGGGAAAAAAAACAGAGAGATGGCTGGAATCAGACTTATGGTTGTATGTTAACTCTGTTCTATGTATGCTGTGATACAGCTACAACCATTAGATTCGATTGTACTTTTATCCCCACAGTTGGCTGCCATGCCTTTGGGGAGTGTTTTTGTGTCAAAATACCACCAAGCAAAGTGTGTTTGCTGAAACTGCAACACCTTTTGTATGCATTATGGCACATACTGAAACAAGGGGAGGGGGATTCAGTGACACATACTGATTAATTGGTTAACAGGAGCTTCCTCATACTCATTACAGCTATTCAGCCATATCACTTTCTAAATCTGAAGACACAATTTTATCTGAAAGCCCATATGGCTTATCAGGAAACTGTGCGTATAGAAAATTACCACAATCCTGAACCAAGATAATATTTATCTAATAGACCATAACAGCTTGGAAAGAGTCAATATGGTCTCTCATTTGAGCATGCATTTTGCTATGCATTCTACCTATACAAACACAAGTCATTTACATTGCAAGCTATCTGCCTGGTAAATCCATTTTTAGGTAATTCTTGTAACAGTAGATATTTTTTTATGAGAGATTATAAAGATCGCTTGAATGTATTGTAGCTCATGTAATAATTTGGAGATGACTGTTTGCCTGATAGATTGTAATGGACTCTGATGGAGCTGTTGGCTTTTATCAGCTAAACCCATATTTTGGTCTGTAAGCAAATTTGAAAGAGCAAAATATTTGCCGAACAATCAGCCAGACTGCTGTGTCTGACTTGCAGCACCCTGCCTGCTCTGAGTCACCAGGTTGACAGAGGTGCAGCCTGTCTGCTGCCAGGGCCCAGGTCTGGCACAAATGAGCCATTACTGTAAATTCTGTCTCATCCCTTCCGCTCAGAGAAATCAAGAAGTATGAAGAGCACCTTGCTGGCAGTTAATGGCTGAGTTGGAAGTGAAGAGGTAACCCTTTCACCTAATCCCACAGAGAACGTCCTCTAGTGAAGTCATGTTTACTCTGAAAGTCCTGGGTGGGTCCTGGCTTTGTGTTTGGAGGTCCTTTGACATTGGAGTTAAATAGGTTCTTCCCCTCTCTCCATGTTCTGTTTTCCCTCTACTGGAAAAATGAAGGAGAATAAAGAGACAAATGGCAAGAAAAGAGTCAGCATTTGAATGGAAAAGGAAAATTAGCAAGAAGATATTGTCTAGGATTTATTTCAGTATTTTCATATTGTTCAAAGTGAAAGATCGGAGTGTTATTGAAGAACACAGAGGTTTTTGTGATCCCTCCTGAGGAAGGACTGCTCAGAATCACAGAGTGGCCCCTTGGCATAATCTCTGAGAGCCTACACTAACAGGGATGAAAGTGTCTGTCCTTTTCACTGAATGCAGAGGGACCCCACGTGGCTGGTGAATACTATGTGCCTGACTCCTGCACCATTCAAGTCACAGGAGTTGAAAACTGCTTTTTCACCAAATCCTCTCACTGAAGAAAAATGGAAAAACAGCCAGGCAACAGCAGCCTTTCCATCAGTTTTCCATAGGTTATAGAAGCAAGTTTCACCACGCATCAAGGTTCAGCCCTTTTAAGAAAAATGATTGTGTTTATGCCATCTCCCAAGTCTTTCAGTGGCATTTCCAGAAGAGGCAGGTGGTGTGGATGCTGAGTGCAATAGGGAGAGTCTTACTCTCTTGGAATCACACAGAAAGTGCGGAACTTGTGTACCAGAGTTTTGGTAGGTCCTAATGTAACAGTTCATAAACAGATTTGTAATTACTACAATCGTGAGACATTTATGCAGTCAGCCACAGAATGCTAAAATAAAATTTCTGTTAAATCATGTTTGCTAAAACGCAGTTTTCCATCAGATTTCTTTTCTCGAGGAGTATCAGTAAAATGGCAGCTGTCACAGTGCCAATGAGATGGTATAATGGAAGATAGATAGAACTTAATATCCTTAAACATGCATTTAGATTTGATGGTTGAGGACTTGTCATCAGCAGAACAGGCATCGAGATCCCAAATCCTTCCTACTAGCTAAATAAACCAACACAGTCTGTATTCCATTAAAACTATGGAAGGAGCACTCTAGACATGAAGATGTCAGATTCCCGCCACAGAGGCTGCACTAATCACTGCAGCTTTGCTTAAATTTTTTAAGAAAAGGACTGGGGAGCAGCCTACAGAAAATAAATGGAATATTTCTGCCCTTGCATGTCTTGCAGAGTGAATGAAGAGTGAAAGTGAGATTTCCCCCACTGTCCCCTGCTTGTGTGATGTACTGTGAAGGTACGTAGGAAGCCTCAAACCTGTTAATATGTATTCTGCATAGTGGGTAAGTGCTGTATTTAATTTCCATTGAAACAGTGCTTCTCTCTGAGGCTTCCTACATACCTTCATATCTCGTCCATCCCCTATCAACCTTGCGTCTTCCTCACTTCCAGCTGCATCACGTCAGTCACAGCTGTGTCCCAGCAGTACTTCTGACCCAATCCCATATCCTACTGCTTCCTGTTGCAGTCTTTGTGTCTTCTTGGGATTTCGTCTTAGGAAAATATTTAAGAATATACACATTTAATTATAAAATAAATCTAAAGTCCCAGTCTCCCGGTTGGTTATGTGCCTCAGTTTCCCCATTATTGCTGGGGGAGATGCCATTAACTCACATCACAGTTGCACGATGAGCT